ATCCGCCAGATGAATGAAGCAGCTGAGGCTGGGGACCTGCATCTCATATATCGTGGTAGGATTGGAAAAGCCGATATCATTGACATTATCTAAAATCAGTATCAAATTCTTCAAAAATCATGTTTCTTTTTGGACCATAGCCTATTTATTTCTTCATCTTCTCTTTACTACAAGATCCTGGCTGTTACTAACCACAACTTTTCAGTTACCTATCTATTTTTTAACTTTGAAATATGGTGGTTAAAAAGAATCCTGAAACTGGTAGTCTTCACTGTTAGTTTCTACCTGACCTTTCTTTCTGCATTCCCTTTTGGAGTTTAAAAATATAATTAGGTCTTTCATCATCAAATGTATATCTGAGCTATAGTTTACTTGATAAATAGCGATACACGTTTCCCTTCATATGGTCCTGTCTTAAACGACTTTTAATTTTTAACTTAGGTATTTTCGATTTCAGTTCTAGAATATCTATCGTAACAGTATAATTGTAAAATAATATTTTTCTGATATAGGTTATGGTTTCTTCTTGTTCCAAACTTATTTTTTCTTCTGTTTAGAATAAAGAGGTGTTTACATTAACACTACTTGACTTTCTTTTCCACCGCCTTGTTGTATTGATAAATACATTTTGCATCCTTATTGTCTCTTTTTCTTTAACTCTTTGCTGCAATTTTTCATATCTGTTATAAACCCCACTACACATACACATAGGTTTCCATTATAAGTATGAAAAAGTTTTAAAGTTATAACCTTAAAATTTTGTTTACATTTTGGTTTTGTATAATCTTTGTTGAAGAGTGAACTTGCGCTTTCATATTGAATTAACTTGAAAAACACTTCATTCCAAAAATAAAGAAAACTTTATTTTCTTACATAAAACAGTCCCATAATAGCATACTCTACTTCTATCACGTTTGTGAAACATTTTTTGGCTTGATCCCATTTAAAGAATTAAGACGCTAATAGCTCCAATTACTGAGGTTTATTTAATCTGCGTCTGGTTGTTGAACTTGTAGCTGCAATTTTACTTCAATTTAGCTTTTTCTTCTTTCCATATCTCTTCTGATTCTGGGATGACAATGTGATAAGAGAGTACTGTCATTAATTTTCATTTTTTTGTTAATTGTCAGTAACCATGTAGATCTGTAGATTTTCTAACAGAGAAATTATACCTTATACGTTTAATTTGGGTCACAGGATCCATAGCTGCAGCGTATATGGTTTTGGTTTCTTCCGAATCTACATCATTGTAACTCTTGCCCATTCGGCTTCGTAACAGTCCCCTATTTCATCAGTTTGATAGTTCTGGAATGGAAGTTTTATTAGTATAGTCCACTACTACTAAAAGTTTAGTATCACACTGATTTTTTTCATTACTTACTTTCCTATTGATGATAATTTTCCTTGTTTCTGTTCTTTTTGTAGTAAATTTTGTTATGCTCTTTCTCTTTTTAATGGGCAAGCTCTCCAAGAATTTAATGTAGTTAGATTCCATGTTTAAAGGCTTATATTGACAAATTCAGCAAGCGCGTTTGAAAGTAGATTCTTTAGCCCTTAAATATGTCGTCTTGTTACCATAGCAATTTCTTTATTGCCTCAGGTTATTAAGAACATATAAATAAATTTTTACCTTATAAGAGTATGCAATTGACTAAACTAACTGAAATTTTGAA